AGACTTGCCTTTGGATGGTATTGCTTTCGATGGTATTGCGCAACGACCGGATCAACGCCTCAAGGTGCTGTTTTGTTTTGACGAGGCTAGCGAGCTGGCAGAGCTGGAACTGGAGGGTGACATGGATACGGCATTTACACTGCTGAGGCGGGTCCTGGGTAAAGCAGAGTTTGGTCTGTGGGCTCTAGTGCTTGGTACCAATTCGCGACTATTGGACTTCGTGCCATCCAAGGCGATGGATCCCACCAGAAAGGTGCGGGCTCGAGACTATAAACTGTTCAAGCCGTTTTGGCTAACGGCCACTGCTGCTGTGCCTGGGGATCTCTCTTCCGGATCCCCAGAAAGCGTCTTCCGCCTAGGAAGACCCCTGTGGCGAGCTTTTATGGACAAAGGGTACACTTTCAAGGGCTTACGTTTACTTGCAGTGGACAAGCTCAACTGTTCTGGCAGAGTAACAGATGCAACGGTGATTGCTGTTCTCGGCTGTACCATCGGCCTGGATGTTGCGTCATGGTCCGAAGCAGCGGAGACGAGTGTGGCTTCTCACATGATGACAGCTTGCTGGATTTCTGACGACCGGCGACGGCTTCATGTCTCGAATGCCGCAGAACCTGTTCTTGCGGCGGCCGCAGCAGGGTTTTTGCTTCAAGAGGTGACACTAAACAAAGTCCTCGGCGAGCTCTCCGAGATGTGCAAGGAAGGAGTGGTAACAGGGGGACCCCGCGGGGAAATTGTCACCAGGTTACTGCTGCTACTGGCGATGCTAGCGTGTCACAGGGACGCGGGCGATGCCACGTTCACGGGAGAGATAAAGCTGGGAGCATTCCTGTCAAAACTGCTGGGAAAAGTTCCTCACGGTCTAGCCAGCACAGTGGACCTTGACGCGGGGCTCAACTTCAACGGCTTCTCGCCAACTTATAGGAACTTGGAGCGCGGCCTGATCAACGAGTGCTTGCAGCACATTCGAGCGCTGACGTGCAAGCCTGGACAGGAAGCCGTGGACAACGTTGTCCCGAGCACTGGCGGTCCAATTGGGATTCAGGCAAAGCGCTGGGAAAGCAACAACTCCACAAAGATGAGGAGAGCGGTTGGAAAGCTCGAGGCTGGTGTTGGTGGAGTGAACTTTATGCTCGGTATCATTTTACAGCTCGGCTCCCCTGAGCATCGTATCGTTGTTGAAGGTGCTGCTAACCGGACCATAGTCGTGTATGGGCTATCTTCCGAGTTGTTTCCGTTTCTCACCCAGGCCACTGCCGACAAACTGCTAGATGTGTTGAAAGTCGGGGCTGAATACTTGCTCCACATGACTGATGGGGAGCAGCGCATTGTGAGACGCATGCTTCCGCTGACTTATCTGTAGTTTTGTTGGCGGAGACGGATTACTCATGGAACACTTTCGTCAATAACAAGTGCAATATATCAGATGAAATGGTTGGATAGCGTCTTCGTGTCCTCCGATTGATTGATTTGTTCCTTCATTGGGACTAACGGTACGGCACGTACCAATGATCACGTGATTGTCCGGATTCTGGATACAGGTTTATAGTACGGACCGCGTGACGGCGAGCTTGCCCTCGAGTTCATGGAGGACGCCGAGCCGAGCGACAATGTGAGTCGAGTCCGCATTCTTGGTCTGGGACAGAGATTACCTGAAGTTCGGGGCAGTTTCCTCCCCAATGATCCAATTGGCCAAGGGAATCCACGGCCGGAGACCAGTGCAAATGGCTGCTCGCCAGCGTTGATGCTCTCAGAGATTATCTCAAGCCCTAGCTAGATCTTTGCAACAGCACGGAATGCATTGAGACAAGCTTTGAGTCAATTGGCTATCCGGCATGCTACAGGGATCTGTGTGGTGGGACTGCTATACGGCGCTTGCCTTCAGATGATGTTGCTGGTGATCGCCTCAGGCGGAGTTGTAACCGCATGGTGGCCTTCAGGATTTACGCTGCTGCGAGTTCTTGGAAGAGCAACTTCTGGTGTGTGGGCTCTGGTGCTTGGTACCAATCCATCTTCGACTATTGCACCACCAATGGAATCGCTGTCGCAAACAGGGACTTGCACTGTGCCTCCCCCAGTTTGTCGGCCTGATCCGGCCTTCTTTTTCTGCCTTGGAAGACCATTGTGGCGACCTTTGGGAGCAGCGTGAGAAGCTTACGCTGCCTTGCATTTGAACTGTTATGGCGGTCTAAACAGATGCAAACGTGATCGTGGCCCTGGACGTAGCGTCATGGTCCCGAGCAGCAGAGAATTAGAGTATGGACCACATGATGACAACATCATTTGCATAGTCCAGGCTCATGCTGCGTCAGCTCCAGGGTAGAAGCAGCCATGACCTATTGCACTCTTGATGAGCATCTCAACTTCTCTATCATGGTATCAGTGATCTTCATACTTTGATCAACTATAAGTGATTCCTATGGAGATACGACGAGCCACGCTGCCTCTTTTATCTTGGAGCAGCATCTCATCCCTCTCTCATAACTATTGTGTCAGGAACTAAACCGCTGGATCTGCAGAACTCTCTGACTGGCAAATCAGAAACAAGTATCTATCCACAATTGGAACTGGCCTGGGCGAGCAGTACATTTAGACGACTCAAATGATGGAACCGGGCATTTTTTACACTTGACCCCAATCATTAAAGACATCCATTATTTTGAAAAGCCATCCAAAATATGCTTCAACTTAAGTTCATTTGCCCATGTGTCTGCAAAATATTCTTATGAATTCTTCCAAGAAATATTTAATGGGGCAGGCTAGGTAAATCCAAGGTACTTGCTAAACTAACTAATTAAGCTAAGTGCCTGTTGTGCAGGATGATTTGGGGCTACCATGTTTCCACTAGTTAACTGCAAGCCACCCTAGAATTGGCAGAATAGGGGCTCTAAAGCACCAAATAAGGTGCAATTGCCCCCTGTGAATTCTAGCATTCAGAATTGCACCTGCAAATTCTCCACCTACCTTGACAATGATCTAATGCCGGCACTAGTGATAGCCAAGAGACTGCTGATGTCCACCATGATCTCCACCGCAATCGATTAAATCATCCAGTTACCTAAGAGAAAATATTGGAAGCAGGTCCACTCCAAAACATTAGGGATTGCAATACCTCTTGGGATTCTTCCAAGTAGCCACTAGTGTTGGTGTGTTAGCTCCACTCTAAAATCTATTGCTATGACTATGATTTCTTCACTGTTTTCATGGTATCAGAGCAATTGGCTCCTTGATCTTGGGCATGGCACTTGCTGGTGAGGAGGCCAGTGACGAAGAAGAGGATGAGCTTCTTGATTGCAATCCTTTTTTGCCATACTTAAAATTTTTGTTAGATGCACTAGATGCTTTAGAGCTGTTGAACAAGTAGCAGTAAGAAAGATAATGGGAGATTGAGAGATTTAACAACCTATATCAAGAATTGGGTCAAAATTCAAGAACATTTTATAACAATTCTTTGTAGGAATTTCCAACAATTAGAAAAATGTTTATGGAGATTCAAGTACCTGGTAGTAGCAAGAAACCAAGACCATATACTAATGGCAAGATTGAAGCCTTAACAAAGAGCAAGAGTGTGTGTAAACAAGGCCAAGACCAAGAATTAAATTTGGGTATTTGATTGAAGACTAAGTAAGCACAATTATTTAAGCTTGAGTGTTAATGATGAATACAGTTTCCATGTATATACACCATCCATATATAGTATGTCGTTTTGTGGTTTTGTTTGCCTTGGCCTCTTTGGCTGTGCACCTGTTTCCTCATTTTGTGGCTATGGCCGAGTACTGACAGTTTATATTTCTGTTTCAGCAACCATAGTGGTAAGCACTTGCTTTTGTCTGTCTGGCTTTGCTAATGAGTTCTTTTTGGATCAGGTTGTGTTGTAGTGTCCAAGTTGCTGGATATATATGGAGAAAAACTGCAGTGCGCAAGTGCCAACCTGCAAATTGCCTCTTCTGGACAACAGTGGTTTATGTACGGACTTGGGAGAATATTTTACTTTGGTCAGAAGGGAGGAGACGATTCAACATCTCATGGATGTATATGGAGATTCTTATCTTTCTTATATAAAGTTAATCTCTAATAGTTATTATTTTACTTCTGTATATAGTTCATGACTCTATATACAAAAAATATTTGTAAATATTGGTCAAGATATGTTGACAGGCTGACAGCCTTGCGCAAACGGCCCAGCTTGGTCAACATGTGAGACTTATCTAAGCCCAGCTCACGTTCTTTATTGACGAGTGAACAATCCAACATTTAGTGAATTATGCTTCACATTTGTCAAAATAATGGGCAAGATCCATGAAAGAGTTGAATATATCTATTGTCAAGAGAAGAAGGTTGCAAAATGATGTTATAACCCATGTGTACAAGTCCCACACTGAATCAAAACCATGAAAGAAGAAGTGCACGGAAGCAAAACAATGGACAAGGATGACTCTAAAGATAGTCAAATATAACATCATAACCAAATATACATGATCAAGAGACATGCCTCTAGCCTGGGACTACTGCCATCTAAGATCATGTCATAGAGAGCGTATACCTCAACAAACCACTCTTAACATCCAATCCCCCTCCAGTCTTAAGAGCCAGGTCAGAGCGGGAGACCCACTCAAGCTCCTGTCTCGCAGCTTGTCCCGTACTAGACCGTGACGAGCTGTTGCTTAACCGGAGGTGGCTCCTTATGGTGGAGCTTGATGTGGAACATGCGGCCTGTAAACTCCCTAGAAAGCAGAGCTCCTTCCGTTCCGTTGAGGTTGGCGAACCCGTTTCCAGCCCCAACCTGTGGCTCTTTGGGCCGCTAATCGCTGATATATAGTTTACAGGGGCGTCACTACCTTTCCCTCAAGCACACTACGCTCCAGGTCGACCACCACAGTATCAAGAGAAACAGCATCCTTTCGTTCCTTCAGGTAGCTTAAGTTCCCAAAGGGAGACTTGGGGAAAGGCATATTTTAGGACATCGTAATAAGAAGTTTTTTGGGCCCGCAGAGCCGAGGGTTAACAATGTCTGCATCCATTGCAAGGCAAATTGAAGCACTCGAGGAGAAAATCGAAGCACTCGAGCAGCAAATCGAAGCATTCAAGAAGCTAATTGAAGAGGCAAAAGATCCAGGGGAGAGGGAGGAGCTGCGGGACGAGAGGCAGCAGCTGCAGGACGAGAGGGAGCAGCTGCAGGATAGACAGCATCAGCTGTGGGAAGCCTTGTTGAACCAGAGTAAGTGGTCTATCTCGTTTCGTGGTTTTGTTGCCCTTTGTGGGCTGGCGTTTGCCTGTTTCCTCGTTTTGTGGCTATGTATTTGCCTATTTGTTACATTTCTGTTTCAGCCACCCCGGCGGCGATAACACTTCAAGCTGCGCCAGGTAAGCAGTCGCTCTTGTCTGTCTGGCTTGCTAAAGAGTTCGTTTTGGATCGGTTTGTGTTGTAGTGTCCAAGTTGCTGGATGTATACGGAGAAAAACTGCAGCGCGCAAGGTGTTTTCACCGGATGCCTGAGAAGAGGGTGCCAACCTGCAAGTTGCCTCTGGACAGCGGTGGTTTATGTACGGACTTGGGAGAATATTTTACTTTGGTCGGAAGGGAGGAGACGATTCAGCATCTGATGGCAGCCGCTGCAAGGGTGTTTGGAACTTTCATGAACACGACGGCCAATGCCTCGGATATTGAACAAAGAGAGTTCTTGTTGATGCTCATCGGATTTCCCGGCGCAGGTAAAACAACTGTCGGGACATGCCTCTCAGCTCTTCTCAGAGAAGCGTGGGAGAGGGACACAAAAACAGGGGATATAGATGGCCTTGTAGAGGATCAGCTAGGCGACAAAGGGCTTGTGAAGCAGTTCAAAGAAATGGTGAACAACGTGTTGGAGACCGGCAGAGAACTTACAATGTATCATTCGGTTGAAACTACGAGGGCAGGGCATGTAACTCCCCTGGAGAACGGCCTGGCGGCAGAACAGGTTTTGGCCCTTCGGTGCTTTCATGCAGCTCTTTGTCCAGTGAATACTACTGGTTATGGCGGCTTTCTCAGGCAGTTGGATGACAAATTTCCAGGCCTGAGGGATGTGCTGACTTTGGGAGATGTGATCGACTTCATTCGAACTGGACTTAAGGTTCCTGCAGATAAGCGAATTTTCCTATCTTGGTTTTTTGATGACGTGAACAAGGCCCAGCCTCAGCACGGCGGCCCACCCACATCGTCCTGGATTCATGATGCTTTTTCGGCCTACGTTCAACATATCAAAGACAACCGAGGTGGCCTGACGTTTCCTATACTTACAGCAGCAACGACCGAATTTGCCGGGGCCACAATGCGCTACACGTCAACGGAGAAGGCTCTAAGTATTTTTATACCTATCAGGCCTTTGAAAGAGCAGGAGGTGGTCAGAGTTACGAAAATCTTCCTTACAAGACTAGGAAATACTCTGGACATGGAGAAACCATTTGAGCTAAAGGACGGACTAAGGAACCTGATAAAGTTATCAGGAGGGAATCCTCGCATGCTTGTTCACCTTTTGAGAGGGTTGATGGCTGACCTGGATGCTTCAAAGTTCTATGAAAAGGTTTCCTTGTCTTTTATCTTGATGTGATGAGAAAATTTCTATGTTTGTTACAGGTGAATCAAGATCTCACTCAAATCGATCTCCGTAACACAATAACGACCGCCTGGGGTAATATCAAACGTGGGTTTTATTATCGGTACCTTAAGGACGGGAAGTATTTGTTGGTGTTACGAGCTTTTTATGTTGCGCTGCTGGGGACCCTGATCAGTCGGGAAGAACTAGTCTGGCCAGGTAGCAGATACGAAGATAACTGGGGGTCTTTAGAGTCTTACGGTTTAGTTGGACTCTTACGCAACGAGGTACTATTTTGATATTTCAGAGTTTATGTCAGAACTTACGCAGTTGTCAATTACAGGAGCTGTCATCTAACAAGAAGATTAAATTATCAAGAGATGAAGATGCTGCTTTCTCCATCATGTTCTCTCCACTCCTCATTTACCATCTCGTTGAGAACCTACATGTGGCGGAGCTCCAGGATTTGTGTCCATCTAAACTAATCTCTAATCCCAAAAACAAGGAGGTATCTGATCTGATGTCCATTGTGTTGATGATCTATATGTTGCGGCTTTTTCATGATCATGAGGGGAAGGGAACAGTATTTGAATTTAGACTCCAGGAAATTCTTCCTTCCAATTTCTGCATTCCTGCAACTATGCAAACTTTGAAGTTCCAGGTGCCAGCTGGTGCAAAGTTTGGACGTCCGACACATCAGCCTCATCAGATATATACAGCAGACGTATTTCAAGCCTTCCTAAGAGACAACAGTCAGCAGTTTTATTGGGTTGGTGTTGGCAACCACGGACCTGATAGCTTCATCCATCTGCAGCTGGTGGATGCTGAGAATAAGCTGCAAGATTTCTTTTTATTTATTGAGAGCAAACACAGGTATAAAAAACCTTTATAAAGCTCAATGTAATGTATTGTGTAACAGGGATGTTTATGAAGGACAGCAAGCCAATTGGGAAGAAAACTTTGAGAAAAAAATATGGACAATAAAGCAATGGATGAATGAAGGTATTTATTTTCTAGTTGTGAGAGGTTAATTGTGTGTATTTTCAGGTGAGAATTACGTCATGGTCTTTATGACTGATCAAGCATTGGATAACTTGATTTCCAAAGTCAAAATATCTGAAAGGATGGTGGTGCTTGTACTAAAGGTTCATGAATGTTTATATGGGTATCCATTTGGTAAATTATTTTAATGCTTTTATTATTAGTTTTTTATGTTCTATTTGTAGGTTTATTAGGTGCTGCGTGTTTTGATCTCGTCTACAAACCTAGTAATGAGCAAGATGACAGTTTTGATGAAGAGCCCAGCACGAAGAGGAGTCGTTGGTGTTTCTAAAATGCTGTTACCACATTTATTCGTTTACCAATAATATTAACACTATGTGACGATTTAGTTCACAAATCTTTAGAAATTGTTAAATGTTAGATGTAAATTAACATACTGTGGTCATGGCTGGAGAACTGATGTTGTGTGTGTATAAACTATAATGCTTGAGTATGCATAAACACCCCATGCGTGCAAAGATTTGTGCTATATTGATGCTATGAAGGAAAATTTGTGTAGTTCTTGTTGGGATGTCCAAGGAACAGATTAATCGGCCTTTTGTGTGAGGACACAATTTTAAGTAATCGCTACAGATGTAATAAGCTCCCATACCAAGCATTGCCCAGTTGGGCAACAATGTTTAGCACTGGTCTATAGTCCCTTTTTTAATCTACACGTTTAAATACCTCGTACGGACGAGGTACGGTTATAGGGATTAGCATAGATCTTGAGAATGTGGCAGCGCCATCGCAAAGCGGCGAAGCAGCACAAGAGTGACGCCGTGGATCCGGAATGGAAGCTCCTGCTGTTCTTGCTCTTGGCCGCCGGATTGTGTGGATATCGCATCGGAGGCGTGAGCGAGGAAGCGGCATGGACGATCGACCTCTTCTCGGTGAGGGATTTAGGGGATTTGTTCTTCTTCTCGGTCGGCTGAGGCTACATTCTGCGCCAGGAATATGATCCTCCTCGTTTGCAGTACCGCGATCTCGTGGAATCCTTCCGGAAAGAAGAGGTATGTTTGTCTCTCGGGTGTTCCTTCGTTTCCCCAGATGAAAATATTCTCACAGGGTAGATTGGAGCGTCCGGGGTTGTGGGATAGGCCCTCGGACAATGGCTGGAAGCGGTGCCCCGAGGATTTTGATCGTTTCTCACGTAAGTTCTTTGTGACGAGAAATTCGACTCTTTACAGCTTTATCAGGTGTGTAGTGACGACATGGGATCGATCTCGCTACTTTCAAGTTCTTTGCGGAGGGGGCTTGTTTCAGCTACATATTTGTGTGAGAAATGGTTTTGCCTTTTTCTTTGACGAATCTCTAGTGGCTGGTTTCAGGTCTGCAATGCTGTTGCTGTAGCAAGGCTTCTCAATGCTACGCTTGTCATTCCATACTTCAAGCACCATCCGTTCTGGAACGATCCAAGGTCTTTGGTTCTACACTTGTTCTTCGATTTGCTTCTTGTTGTGAATTTACTTGTTTTCGTGTATGTTTCAGCCAGTTTGAAGATATTTACGACTTGAACCATTTCATGTCAACCCTGAAAGGCGATGTGAAAATCGTCACAGAGTTGCCTGCAATGTATAGTTGGAGCACGCCGAGTTTCTACTGGGGACGTTGCTTGGATAGGCCGAATTGTATGACGTTTCTTCCAAAGCACACTACCCCCAAATGGTTCTTCCAGCACATTCTCCCGATTATGGAAAGGTAAACGGGATCACTGTTTTTTCGTTTGCATGTTTGTTAACGGTTATTCCAAAACAGATATGAAGTCGCAGCTGTTGATGGTTTTGAGCACAAACTTACCTTTGAAGGTCTCCCTGCGAGTATCAGCAAGCTGCGATGCAAGGTGAACTTCTACGCCCTGCGCTTTGTGAAGCCGATCCGGGATCTTGGAGATGCATTGACGCTGCGGATGAGAACCAAAACATTATCAGGCGATCCACTGCGTAACCAGGAAAATTCGACAAAGAAGTACATCGGTCTTCACGTGAGATTCGAAAGAGACATGCTTGCATATTCTAGTTGTGACTTTGGTGGAGGTCAGGCCGAGCAGAAAGCTCTTGCGTCATTTCGATACCAAGTTTGGAGGTATCAGCTTAACATTCCTAACTGTGAAATACTACTTTCTGCTTTTCTGTGTTCCAGTAACCGAGTCATCAAAGCGCTGAAGAGGCCTTCTGATCTTCGGCGAAATGGAAGCTGTCCTCTAACTCCAGAAGAGATCGGCCTCCTCCTTGCCGCATTCGGCTTTACCGCCACTACGCCCCTCTATATTGCTGGAAAGGTACATGAACTCCTTGTTCTTTCGTTTTTCGCCGCTAGACTCGTCTTCAAAACAGGCAGTTTATGGGGGACCTCGGAGAATGGAGCCGCTGAAAAGTCTATTCCCTCTCGTCGAAAACAAGCACTCGCTCGCCACGAGACAGGAGCTGGCGCCTTTCCGGAACTTTGCTCACAAGCTGACGGCCTTGGACTTCAGGGTGCTCTTCAACAGCGACGTCTATATGTCCAATGCCGCTGGAAATCTTCCAAACGTCCTGGTGAGCAAGTCAGATCGATCTGGGATTAGTGATTCCTTTCTTCCTCCCTTGCAGACGGGACATAGAAGCTACTTTGGGCCTTACGCATCGGTTCATCCCGACAAAGCTCGCTTAGCAACGCTTCTTTCGGACGAGAGACACGCGACGAACTGGACGAGCTTTGCGGAGCGGGCTTTCGCGGCGCACGAGTCGCGAATGGGAGCGATCGAGCCGAGGAAATCGAGGTACTCCGTTTTCAGGTATCCAGCGCCGGATTGTATGTGTTTGCGATCCAATTCGCGAGATTAGATCTTTCTAAAGTTCCCAAACTGCAAAATGACTATAGAGCTAAACATTGTTGCCCAACCTTTGTATGGGAGCCTATTACATCTGTAGCGATTACTTAAAATTGTGTGTCTCACACAAAAGACTGTTCCTTGGACATCCCAGCAAGAACTACACAAATTTTCCTTCATAGCATCCATATAGCACAAATCTTTGCACGCATGGGGTGTTTATGCATACTCAAGCATTATAGTTTATACACACACAACATCAGTTCTCTAGCCATGACCACATTATGTTAAAACATTTCACAATTTCAAAAGATTTGTGAGCTTTAGCGGGATAAATCGTCACAACAAACGTTTAATATTATTGGTAAACGAGTAAATATGGTAACAGCATTTTAAAAACACCAACGACTCCTCTTCGTGCTGGGCTCTTCATCAAAACTGTCATCTTGCTCATTACTAGGTTTGTAGACGAGATCAAAACACACAGCACCTAATAAACCTACAAATAAAACATAAAAAACTAATAATAAAAGAATTAAAATAACTTACCAAATGGACTCTGCGCTGGATACCCATATAAACATTCATGAACCTCTGGCACAAGCACCACCATCCTTTCAGATTTTTTGACTTTGGAAATCAAGTTATCCAATGCTTGATCGATCATAAGGACCATGGCGTAATTCTCACCTGAAAATACACACAATAAACCTCCCACAACTAGAAAATAAATACCTTCATTCATCCATTGCTTTACTGTCCATATTTTTCTCTCAAAGTTGGCTTGCTGCCCTTCATAAACATCCCTGTTATACAGTACATTACATTGAGCTTTATAAAGGTTTTTTATACCTGTGTTTGCTCTCAATAAATAAAAAGAAATCTTGCAGCTTGTTCTCAGCATCCACCAGCTGCAGATGGATGAAGCTATCAGGTCCATGGTTGCTAACACCAACCCAATAAAACTGCTGACTGTTGTCTCTTAAGAAGGCCTGAAATACATCTGCTGTATGTATCTGATGCGGCTGATGTGTCGGACGTCCAAACTTTGCACCAGCTGGCAGCCGGAACTTCAAAGCTTGCATACTTGCAGGAATGCAGAAATTGGAGGGAAGAATTTCTTCGAGTCTAAACTCGAATACTGTTCCCTTCCCCTCATGATCATGAAAAAGCCGCAACATATAGATCATCAACACAATGGACATCAGATCAGATACCTCCTTGTTTTTGGGATTAGAGATTAGTTTAGATGGACACAAATCCTGGAGCTCCACCACATGTAGGTTCTCGACGAGATGGTAAATGAGGAGTGGAGAGAACATGATGGAGAAAGCAGCATCTTCATCTCTTGATAATTTAATCTTCTTGTTAGATGATAGCTCCTGTAATTGACAACCGCATAAGTTCTGACATAAACTCTGAAATATCAAAATAGTACCTCGTTGCGTAAGAGTCCAACTAAACCGCAAGACTCTAAAGACCCCCAGTTATCTTCGTATCTGCTACCTGGCCAAACCAGTTCTTCCCGACTGATCAGGGTCCCCAGCAGCGCAACATAAAAAGCTCGTAACACCAACAAATACTTCTCGTCCTTAAGGTACCGATAATAAAAACCACGTTTGATATTACCCCAGGCGGTCGTTATTGTGTTGCGGAGATCGATTTGAGTGAGATCTTGATTCACCTGTAACAAACATAGAAATTTTCTCATCACATCAAGATAAAAGACAAGGAAACCTTTTCATAGAACTTCGAAGCATCCAGGTCAGGCATCAACCCTCTCAAAAGGTGAACAAGCATGCGAGGATTCCCTCCTGATAACTTTATCAGGTTCCTTAGTCCGTCCTTTAGCTCAAATTGTTTCTCCATGTCCAGAGTATTTCCTAGTCTTGTAAGGAAGATTTTCGTAACTCTGACCACCTCCTGCTCTTTCAAAGGCCTGATAGGTATAAAAATACTCAGAGCCTTCTCCGTTGATGTGTAGCGCATTGTGGCCCCGGCAAATTCGGTCGTTGCTGCTGTAAGTATAGGAAACGTCAGGCCACCTCGGTTGTCTTTGATATGTTGAACGTAGGCCGAGAAAGCATCATGAATCCAGGACGATGCGGGTGGGCGGGCGTGCTGAGGCCGGGCCTTGTTGACTTCATCAAAAAACCAAGATAGGAAAATTCGCTTATCCGCAGGAACCTTAAGACCAGTTCGAATGAAGTCGATCACATCTCCCAAAGTCAGCACATTCCTCAGGCCTGGAAATTTGTCATCCAACTGCCTGAGAAAGCCGCCATAACCGGTAGTATTCACTGGACAAAGAGCTGCATGAAAACACCGAAGGGCCAAAACCTGTTCTGCTGCCAGGCCGTTCTCCAGGGGAGTTACATGCCCTGCCCTCGTAGTTTCAACCGCATGATACATTGTAAGATCTCTGCCGGTCTCCAACACGTTGTTCACCATTTCTTTGAACTGCTTCACAAGCCCTTTGT